GGTTGGGCTGCTAACGCTAATAGGACGTTTACCGTCACAATTTAAATAAATATTATTACATGACATTTATATTACGGTTGATATTTGAGGGTATCAAATAATAAATTTCTATGTATATAGGTCTACTACAACATACGCTTGCCGTATGAATCGCTGAAAAATAGTTAATTGCTATAAGTACGTCTGTGAGTAATATATATCATAATAATTGATTATATTAATTTATGAACGTAGATTCACAGAGTAAGCTATTTTTTTTTCATTTTAAGAATCTTAAAAAATTTATAACTTTTGAAATATACGTTTTATAAAAAAATTGCAAGAAATCTTTTCGCCTTTAAATTACTAAAAAAATTATTCTAGTTTGAAAAAATTATTTCTTTTTAAGGTCTTCTAATACGCTTGTCGTATGATTCACTGAAACAGCATTATTACTGATTGCAAAAAGTACGTTTTCCGGTATTCTCTTCTAATAATGGACTATATTAATTTGTAGACGAAGATTCACAGAATAAATAATTTTTTCCTATTTTGAAAAATATTGATTATATCAAAAATTAGTAAGAGCCAAAGTTAGTAAAAAAACGTTAAATTATCGATTTTAAAAAATTTATAACTTTTGAAATATATATTTTATGAAAAAAGTGCAAGAGATCCTTTCGTTTGAAAATAAGTCATATTTACTAAAAAAAATAGTACGGTTGAAAAAACTAATTTTTTTATAATTTGTTCAAACAATTGCATTTTAAATATATTTCTACCACGTTATCGAAAAATCTAGTAGCGGTTTTGGATTCAAGAGGTCAAAATACATAAGACTGACAGATTTTTACTCGGGTGGTCGTTAACGCATACGAAAAGGTACCCAGCTCCCGGACTAAAAGCAGCTGTTAATATTTTATATAAATACGAGGTGTGTTCAAAAAGTAACGAGAATTTTTAAATTTCGCGGGTTTGGAGAGTCCGCTTGTATAAAATTTTTTTTATTATGTTGGTACACATGCCCCTGAAGTACGATAAAATTTTCAGCAATATTCATTGCTTACTTTTTAAGTGGCAGCCGCTAACGTTAGACGTGTTTTTCGAGCTCGGCGATTTTCGTTTGTGAAAAAAAATGGATCAAAGAATTTGTATTAAATTTTGCGTAAAAAATGAAATAAAGTGTAGTAAAGTTTGTCAAATGTTAACAAAGGCATATAGTGAGTCTGCTATGAGTAAAGCAAGGATTTATGAGTGGTATAAGCGTTTCCAAGATGGCCACGAAAACGTTGAAGATGACGAACGACCCGGACGCCCAAGCACATCAACAACCGATGAAAACGTGAAAAAAGTGAAAGAAATGGTTATGAACGATCGCCGAATCACAATCAGAGAAGTCGCTGATGATGTTGGCATATCAGTTGGCTCATGCCATCAAATTTTTTCGAATGTTTTGGGTATGAAACGTGTGGCAGCAAAATTCGTTCCAAAATTGTTGAATTTCGAACAAAAACAGCGGCGAATGGAAGTTGCTCAGGAGTCGCTAAATGAAGTCAATAACGATGCAGAACTACTAAAACGTGTTATAACAGGTGACGAAACATGAGTTTATGGATATGATGTCGAAACTAAGGCTCAATCGTCCCAGTGGAGGCATTCTGGATCGCCAAGACCGAAAAAGGCTTGACAAGTACGGTCGAATGTGAAGGTTATGCTCACTGTGTTCTTCGATTTTAATGGCATAGTGCATTATGAATTCTTGCCACAAGGTCAAACAATCAATAAGCAGTACTACCTACAAGTTCAACGTCGTTTGCGTGAAGCAATCCGAAAAAAACGCCCGGATTTGTGGCAAAACAATTCATGGCTTTTGCACCACGATAATGCGCCTGCTCACACTTCATTGCTTGTTCGTGAATTTTTGGCCAAAAACGAAACTGTAACGATGCCTCAGCCTCCATATTCGCCAGATATGGCTCCATGTGACTTTTTTCTATTTCCAAAAATAAAGAGAACATTAAAAGGCCGTCGTTTTACAAGCATAGATGACATTAAAAGCGAATCGCTGAAAGAGCTAAAAGATATTACAAAGATCGAGTTTCAAAAGTGTTTCGAGGATTGGAAAAAGCGTTGGCATAAGTGTATTGTATCCGAAGGGGACTACTTTGAAGGCGACGACATTAATGTAGATGAATAAATAAATATTTTTTTCATAAAACGAAAATTCTCGTTATTTTTTGAACACACCTCGTATATGGTATTAATAAATTAATATATAAGAAAATCTATTGCTATAGTGCCTGTTTGTGTGAAATGTGCACAAAATATATTTTCTAACTGCCCTTCACATCAGACTGTTCAATAAAATATGTCAAATGTGCAAACTGAGAAAAAAATTATGTAGCTAGTTACAAAAGATGCAGCCCAAGTTTGTTTAAAATCAAAATAAACAAACATGGAAAATACCGTTAGACCAAACATTACGTATGCACCGATAGCAAACGGAAATGTTTACAAAGTTATAGAAGAACCCTAAGAAACCCAGGCTCGATCGACAGTAGTCAATAATAATAGTCATTTGAAAAACAATATGACTTAGCTGATCAAACAATGCTCAGTCTGCTCACCACACTAATAAATAAGATCAAATGAAAACCGGAATAAATATAGCATTTTGGAGCACTAACGGTTTAGCTAAAAGGAGTTTTAAATTAAAACCATTTTTTATAGTAAATAATATTGATATAATGCTGATATCTAGAACTCATTTCCCACACAAAAACTATATAAAAATTCCATAGTACACAATTGATAACACTAATAATCCTGATGGTACAACACACGAAGGTACTGCAATAATAATTAAAAATAGTATCTAACACTATGAAGCTGAAACATACAAATATGAATATTGTAACGGGGGAATTCGGGGGGAATAAGCCACCAGCCGAAGTCTCGCCACCTAATGGCCGTCGGCGACTTGTCTTCCCGACTTATTAATCGGGCGCCAGATCACCATTACGGCGCCGCAGCAGCCGTTGGGAATCGGAGTCGTAAAAACACCGTTGCTTCTACCACAACGCCTATCGACTGCGACAGGGGTTGGAAATTTCCGGTGTTCAACGACCGCGTTGTCCTTCACAAAATGGCGCGGTTGCTACTTCAATGCTCGATCGTACTCCTTGCTCGTGCGAATCTAGTGTCGGCTTGGCTAGCTCTCGTAAACAACTCTAAGTTTTAAGGCAGGATGCGAATGGAATTTTTGGCAAAACGAAAAATTATTTCTCATACCTTTTTAATTTACATAGCAAGTCGGTTTCGTCGGAAATCTCGGATCTACCTAAGAAGTCACGAAAACCGTTAACTCACTCGAGCACTCAAATCTCTAACTAGATCTGATTTTCCTAACGCAGCTGAAAATTAAAGAACGGCATGCACAGGAAAAAATAGTATTGTTACAATATCATTTATGTATTGTCATATTTACGCATTGTAGTAATATAATTTACTTGTTGCCGACAGATAGATTGTAAATAAAATAAGAAATAAAAAAAAAAAGGAAAAGAAAATAACATTTTTTTCCTAGCTCGTAAATTGACAAATCTATCTCAAAAAATCAAAAATCATAAAATTAGGTTTGAAAAGTTATAGATTTTATTGTTAGTTATTTTTCATGTCGAACAAAATAGCATATCTACTTTTTCAAAATAATTGAGCAGTTTTGACTGTTGTAACCGGCTAAATTCTTTGTACTTTTATTTCTAATAGGAATATAAACTAAAAAAAACACTAGTTTATTTATAAAACAAAATTGTTTTTATAATTTATTTATGTTTATTTTTGTGTATGCAACAATCTTATATAAGAAAGATCGTAATAACTTCATGCGAATAAAGAATTACTACCACTAAATCGTATCAAACAAGAAAAAAATTAAAATAGAAAATAGAAGACAAAGACCAATTGAATTAAAAGTTATGTAATTTTAATACTGAACTATAACGTAAAAACTTACTATTTAATAAGAATTTAATAAACTATTCATTTATAAATTTTATACAGTTATCCATTTCCTACTTTTCCTTTTTCACAAACATTTAAAAATTATATATCAACTTTGTGGTAAAAAAATATTTTTGATATAATTGTTAAAATAATGAAAATTACAATTTATTCGTTGTTTGATAGAGTCAGTCATACAAATATATATTGAGATTTCATATGCGTACATAGTAAGTACAATATGCAGCTCTTTTGATCTAAAGTAAATTCTAACATACTGTTTGTTGATTATGCTTCACATGCTAATAATATATTTAAACACTCAAACTCACTGGCTTGCATGACGTGCATAATAACGTTTATAATTACAATAAAATTTAATATGTACATGATTTATTTACAGCTAAACATTCAAAGATATTTATAATGATTAAAATTATTAGTGTACATATTCACACGAGCTTAATTCACTTTTAAATCCAATGAAACTAATTAAATGAGAGCAGACTTTTTTCACCTTTTTATAGTCGAACTTCGTCGAAATTGGACAGTAAATAAATGTTAATATCTAGTAATATTCAGTAATACATTGAAGCGTTCTGTTGTACAGTTTTCTACAGTTTTCGGATCTATCGACTATTATTACAACAAGTTTACAGATAACCTTGTTTATGCTGAATTTTGCGCATACATTTTTGTATATCACTGTTTTCAAGCAGTGAAGTAATTACTCATGTAATTATATTTCTTCTGATTATTTATACAGTTTATACTACGTAAAATAAATGGATCTAATATTTATTGTACGAAATGGTTTACCGAAAATATAACAAATATATACATCTTACATAAAAAGTAAAGAATCTTAAAAAAATTAACATATTCTAATTCGCAAAAGGCTTCACAGTTGATAAAAAGAAAAGTTATAATTATATATATAAATTTATGCAATGAAAAATTTTCTACCAATTATATTAAATCAACTAATGCCTTATTAAGGCAATTTATCTCTGAAAAGACCTACATTAAGCGTATAATCATCAAAGTATTGACAATTAAATTTACCATATAACAGCTTGAATATATAACACTGAAGTGCAATTATTCAAAGTAGCCACTTGGCAAGTCTTCGTCTCTCTGTTCATTTAATAATATCACAAAAACTTCAAAAACAATAAAATAATAACAATAATAATTGCAATGACAGCAATATTAATAATCATAATAGCAGTAACAATATTAACAAAGCACAGAAATAGAAAGAAATTATTTACAAATTAAATACGAAGTTCAGTATCATTCAGAGGTACAGATCGAAGTGAACACTGGTTAGTTCTGGGTGAGGCGTCAGGAACTAAAGGGCTGATACTTGGGCTTCTTGTCGCGAGAGGTGATAGCGAAGGAGAGAAGCTCGGACTGAGGGCCGCCGAAGGGAAAGTTGATGCATCATGGTTAATCGGTGAGCGTGGGAGAATGCCTCTAGTTAAACCGGTGGCCATTGTAGTAAGTGATCTCGGAGCCACGCAAGTGAGCAGTGGGGGAGGCGGAGGTGGTGGCACTAAGGCTCGGCGTAAGCTCTTTGGTCTGCCGTTGCTGCTAGTGTTACCGCTCTGCACGCTAGCCGCGTCATCTTTAAGCCTCGCGATTTCACTGAATACATGAGCAAGCGGCTGATACTGCGGGCCCCAGTCGAGCAAGTAATCCCAATTATATGAACCAGTCAACTCTTCCTCGCTGTGTACGATCGAGCTGAGCGAACCGTTCATCGACGGGATTCCCGGAACCTCCAATCCTGAATTTGGCCTTCTCAGTTCGCCAACTTTACCATAGATTAGAGTGGCTATGTCGGCTTCGGTAGCCACTGCGTCTTCGAAAAAGTGCAAGCTGTCGAATGGCAGCGTATCAGGCAGCCTACTCCGAGAAGCGCTCGCCGGCGGGTCAACGATACCCAGCCTCGCTAGATATTCTTGAGTATTATGAACTGACAGATCACTCGCGGAATCGGCAGCTTGTTGACCTTCGTTGATCATGCGAATTTCCTCATCGTCGCCTTCATCTTCGGCCGAGCCTCGTCCGGAGGAACCAGATTGATCGCTTCCTGACAATTCCGAAGCCGCATGCGTTTCACTTTGCGCAGACGTATCATATACGGGTATTTCGTCATATTTTGGAGGGGCGAATTGACAGGATAAGCCTATACTCGCCCCAGTACCGACGCTGCCTCCGTTCACGAGACCACCACAAGGTGTTGCGTTTGTTCCGAGCCCAAGTCCGAGCCCAACAACTCCTCTAATGGCAATAGTCTCGAAAGCGGTGGGATCTACGTAGCTGTTTGAGGCCGTTGCGTTGCTTTCTCCGCCGAGAGCAGGCTTCGCTGCAGGTTTCTTGTGCCGAAGGTTTCTTATATGTACGTACAGCCATATGGATCCAAAAATACCACACAGCAAAAGAAAAACTACCAATAAGCCCAAAATCCAATCTGCCAAGCCGCTACTTGTAACCATGGTCATGTCAGTACTGACGTTAGTAGGGCTAGAGTAAACGGTTGCTCCTCTATTGGCGCCTAGCTCTTGTCCTTCAACCCACGACACCTCTACAATAGTAACATTCGACAAAGAACCTTGCCGACCAGAGCTTGCACTGATCAATAGCCGTACCAGTTCTTCGCTATTCGTCCCGCTGGACAGAGTTTGTTTTATAATCAGAGCGCCGGTCGTACGATTCAACTTAAACAAAGAGTGCTGTGCCTTTAATTGATAAACCACGCGACCATCGGGCCCTTTGTCTCGATCAGTTGCCGTGACATAACCGATTACACTTCCTACCATAACCTGAGTGCTGATTCTCAAACCGAATCGGTATATGCGCTCGGTGAATTGCGGGTAAAATTCGTCTCGAGAGTCGATTTCGATTCGTACTCTGACCGTAGCACTGCGTCCACCAGTGTCAGTTGCGCGGATTGTAAAGGCATACCTATTCCGTTGCTCATAATCAAAAACCGCGTCCGTATAAACATTGCCCGTCTTGCTATCGATAGAGAATAATTTCCAGCTATCGTCAATATCAGAAAAGCCATCAGCAGCTGACGAACTTATTGAGTAATTCAATTGTCCATATACTCCTCGGTCTAGGTCAAAAGCTCGTGCCTTAAAAATACTGCTGCCGACTGGTTCATTTTCACCGACGAACTCGAGATACTCTGAGACAGGAAATTTAGGAGAATTATCGTTTACATCTTCTATTTGTACTTGTAACTGTGTGAATGCACAAAGAGGTCTTGTCAGGTCACTGTCACAGGCTCTTATAACCAGATTGTGCAATTCTGGCTTCAGATCACAATCGAGGCTTGCGTTTACCATAACCGAACCAGATGACGAATTAACGAAAAACAGTTTGTCATCATTACCCGAACTTATGTCATAAGTGACTGTCGCAGATTCACTCCCAAAAAGATCGGCATCCTCTGCGTGTAGAATAATTACTGTATAACCTAGAGAAACGTCTTCTTTGATTGACACCTTTTCAAGATCTTTAAGAAAATGTGGATAGTTGTCGTTCACATCGATCACGGTGATATTTATTGTAACGGAATCTTTACCCATTAGTAAACCAGTTCTATAACTTCCATTTCTTACACTTAAGCGTATAACGAACCTGAAAAATAATTTAATTAACTTAGAATCTATTATAACATAAAAGGGCTCATTCCATTCAAATTAATATAAGTCGTCACCACTTACATTTACTTCTTTTATTACTTTAATATTATAAAAGCTTATTCTGCATTTATTTTTCACGCGTTATACTTTCAACTAATTTTATGTAAATTGAAAAATGATTCAAATTGAATTTTAGCGTTGCTTAAGTATAGTTTATAACGTATCCATGATAAAATCAACCTTATGTTTATGACAATTTAATTTTTTTGAAATTCAGTAGCTAAAATCAATAAAGAAACGTATCAAAATTCTCTAAGGCAAAATCTGAATTGAATTCAATTTCAAGTAAGTTTCATCATATTCAAAGATTTTTGAAGCAAAAGACTTATTAAATGACACTTTGTTTATTATTTTTCTGTTGTAACTATAATTAAAAATAGAAAATCGATTAAAGTTATTACCTATCTTTTGTTTCACGGTCTAACTTATTTGCCAGGATAAGTTTTCCTCGTGAAATCTCAAAAACTCCATCGTCGTCGCCTGCGACGATAATGCCATTTAATAAATCGACGTCTGATAGCTTCATTAGATTTGTGCCCTTTGTTGCATTCTCTTTAATGGATACTTGGTATTCTCTGCCTGGTGTATCATTATCTAATCCATTTAAATTTACGACAACCGAACACATGGCTTTCAGCGATGGTTTACCAGAATCTTCAGCTATAATAGTTAATTGAATATCTTTGGGTATTGGTTTCGTCAAAGCAGTTTGATTCATTAAAACTAAACCACTCATAGGATTCACAGTAAACCCTTTTACCGAGTGAAAAAGACGGTAATTAATTTGATTATTATCATTTGTAAGATCATCATCGATTGCATTTACGGTTATCACTTCTAGCAGATTGTCTCGTTCTTCTGTAATGAAATTCATAATACATTATGCAAAAAGAAAAAAATCATATACAATATAGATAGTTTTCTAAATTGTATTACATAAATTATTTTTTAATTAATTTATACAAATAAATGTAAGATAAATGTTGTACTCCATCAACGTATGCTAAAACATTGTATTTTATTTGACGTTTTATTAACCAGATTTGTCAACCTCATCGGGAACAATAGTTTAATTCAATAAGTTAATAGTTTTTAAATCAGAATGAGTTTGACAGATAACAAGCTTATTCTAAAATATTAAGATGGACAAGAATAAAATACAATGTAATAACCTACAGTGACTAAATACAAGATTTGCTTACACATAACTATTAAAGGCGAAATATAACATTTAAGGATATATAAATAAATATCAGTAGAATGTCCAATAGGTGATAAGAAATTTATGAAATGTGCTAATAGACATTTGAAAAACAATAACAAAATTAGGTACATACCACAAAGGTTAACAATGTATGCAACTTGATCGAAATGAGGTGGATTGTCATTAAGGTCAATCACTCTGATTGTTAACTCAGTCGTCGCTGTGTGTAAACCATCACTTGCTATTATTTGAAGTATGTACTCACTTTTTACTTCAGCATCCAGCTTACAAATAAGAACAACACGCCCTCCATAATAATCTATTTTAAATAAATACGTATAGTCTGTATCGTTGATGCGATATGTCAATGACGGTGAATTGTCAACGTCATTCGCTGTTATGGTTGTCAGTACAGTTCCCACTGACGTGTCTATAATTAAAATAGAATAATATTTGACAATTTATAATATTATATAACGATAACTTAATGATTTACATAACGATAAATGAGTCATTTCTCTTCTTAATTTTAGAGAGTCAGAGCAATCAGTGCATTCAATGACCTGATTATGGAAGAAAAATCTGTCGTAAACTGACCTTCAGGAATTGAAATAATTTTGCGCTCTGGAAAAGTTGGTTGATTATCATTGATATCAATGACTCTAATACTCAAAGCTGTGGTTCCAGTTAATTGAGGATTTCCTTGATCGGTGGCTATGATGGTTAAACGGTACTTTTCTCTGATCTCACGATCTAAAACTATATTAGTTCGAACAATACCGCTGTAAGGTGGATTTATTATAAATGCGTTGTCTGGATTGCCATCAACAATATGATACAATAATCTACTGTTCAATCCCTGGTCGACATCTTCGGCTAAAAGCTGTAAAATGATGAATATTTAAAAAATTATAAAAAATGCAATGCATAGTAGTGTCTAACTAGTTCATTTGATATATAAGTAATTCTATAATAGAAGTAATGTTGTCACAAAATTCATGTTGAAAATTATTGTATCTAATTTTATATGAATAGAAAAATTCAATAACTTAGATTTTTAACTGAGATTTTCAACTTTTAAAGTATCATTAAACAACAAAATTACATACTATTGTAACAGAAAGAAAAAAAATGAAGAATTACTATGTAGTTACCTTGAAAACAAAATCTCCTTTAGCGTTTCCCTCCAGAACAGTCGCCGAATATTGAGTTTGAGTGAACATTGGCGCGTTATCATTTAAATCTGCAATGCGTACACGTAGTTGGGCGTAAGCTTCGAGTGGCTCGGTCCCTACGATTTTGGCAACAAGTGTCAGTATATATCTAGAATCCTCAATCACTTGCTCTTTTTCTTGATAGCGTTCCATAAAATTTTTCCAATGTTTATTTGTAATCGATCGTTTATTGTCGTCAAGGAATGGTATCTCTGGAATGCGTCTAGTTCTATACAGCTCAGCGTCGAGTTTAGCTGGATTATTGATACTCAGCAAACCACTTTTCTCGTCGATGTGAAACATTTGTTGGTCATTGCCCGAGCCTATAGAATAAATTATTTGCTGGCGCCTGCCATCCGATCTGACGGCAGTCACTTGAATAAGTTCTGTGCCAGATCGAGAATTTTCTTGAATTACAATGTCATAGCTGTCATTTTGGAACTTGAGAATTGGCGCAGCATCGGCTAGATTGCCCACACAAAGTTCAACCAGACCTCGCGAACTAAGTGAAGGATTGCCTTTATCAGTTGCTATCACTTCAAGCCAATAGATACGTCCGTCTTCTTGAGCTAACGATACAGCTGCACTGATTATTCCACTGCTTGGGTGAATGCGAAATTTCGGCTTATCTTCCTCGTGGGAGAACCTGTACGTTATATCACCATTCTTCCCTTCATCTAAGTCACTGGCCTTTACTCGCACTATGTTATGACCAGATTGCGTGCTCGTTGGAACTCGGACTATAAATGGATATTCGTCAAAAACTGGATAATTATCGTTCACGTCGCTAATTTCAATATTCACAGAAACCGAAGTTTGATGAACTTCATTTTTTCCACCATCTGTTGCAACTACAACGAAAGTATGGAACTTTTGCCACTCACGATCAAGTACCCTGTAGTAGACACATCTTTTAGTACTCAGTTATAACTTTTTACAAGTATATATTTTTAGTTATTTTAATTTTTTTATACAGTATACGGAATAAAAGCTTAACGAACCGTGTCATAGAAAAACCATATAACTTTAAACATTTTATTCCTAAATATTATTTACGCTGAGAGTGTATGATAAACTTTTCTAATTTTTGCCCATCATTGGTACAATTGAAATAATCAAGCATGATTTTGTTTATTTTGAAAAGAAATTACTTTTTTCTTTAGAATTAATACAATATTTTAATAATAATCAATGATATTTACGGTCAAATGTAAAAAAATAAAGTGTCATATTTTTTGAGCATTACTAGATATACTCCTAAGTTTTGACTCAAAATACTAGATAAAATAAAAAACATGGTTGTTCTAAACACATAGTTAGGAATATTTTAATACTAGATAGTAAACTTTATGTTAATAATTCTTAGAAGTTTTTTTAGTAATAAAATAAGAAAATTTGTATATCGAAGTACTCTTTCGATGCTTCGCCTAAATTTTAAGTAAATGATTTAAAAAATTTAATAACGACAAGTGATCCTACCTAAAATATAACTAATCTTGTCAATGTATTGAGTACAACCAGTTTCTCACAAAAAATTAAATATTCAACAATGGTTTTACGAATTTTTTAATTAATGAGGAAACTGCTACACAGAATATTTCGATAATGATTAGTCGTATTTCAAGTAGGAATATTTATCGAAAAGATTAATCTTTTCATGTATTCATTACGCAGCATTCAGGCAAACCATTGACGATAAACTACGATAAAATTCTTTCCTTCATTATGTATATACAGAATTATATAGCGGGAACTTGATTGTTGCACTGCTTTTCTTAAAACTGCACAATAAACTATAAAACTCACCCTGCTGTTGTAATAATTCCAGTGAAATTATCTATTCGAAATAACCCATTTAATTCATCGGCTATGGAATACGTAATTTGACTATTAACTCCATAATCAGAATCGATAGCTTGTACTTGCATAATACTAGATTCAATGCTGACGTCTTCGGACACACTTGTCGAGTATTTTCCTTGAGTGAAAGTAATTCCGTAACGAGAATCTGGGAGTTTAAGCTGGCTATACTGATTATCTACAAAAACTGGCGCATTATCGTTAACATCGAGTACAATAATTGTCAGATTGCAAAAAGTCTCCAAAGTTGGCCGCCCTCCATCTCGTGCTGACACTGTTAATACATACTTTGACACAATTTCTCGATCGAGACTCGAAACTGATAATGCACCAGTTTTTGAATCTAATTTAAACTTTAAATCAACGTTACCATCTATAAACGGTAATAATTATATCAAGAATCTATTTTTCACTAAAAAATATGTTTTAATGTTTGAAACATCACTACTTACTGATAATATTGTAGAATATTTCGCCATTTTTACCCTCGTCGAGATCCGTAGCCGCAATCGTATGAATAACAGCTGTCTCCTGATTTTCAGGCAAAGTAAGTGTGTAACACGATCCTGATTTAAATTCTGGACTGTTATCATTTTCATCAAGAACGATGATTTCTAAAGTAGTGAGATCAAGAAGTTTTCCGAAACGGGCTAGAATTCCCACTAAGTAATAGGCCTTCTCCTCTCGGTTTAATGGTGCTATGAGTCTTACCATTCCATTGTTAGTAATCTCAAAAATGTGCAATACTGAATCATCAATTATACTAAACGTCATATTTCCTGAAAACAAAGCACGTATTAAATCTCTATTACTAGATATTTTTCACAATGCATTTAGTATTGTCAAAGTCAAACATCGAAACAGTCTCCTATCATAGTTGTAACGTATAAAAGAACTATGCAACTGCATCAGCGAAGTACTTCATTAAAAAACGAAAAGAGTCAGAAATTTATTTCTATCTGTCTTTAGCGCAAAGTTTAATAAGCTAGATACCAGATCCTAACAATAGTTTAAGGAAATATTTTATATAGCTTTCAATTATGGAGTTACTGGAGTCATGTCAAAATGCATAAATTGTGATAAAATTAAAAGCTAAGATCGATTAGAATAATACAAAGTAAATAACATGCTTCGTTAAACTTTTACGGTTGTAATTGGTAAAAAGAAATTATTGTAAACTAGTTTGTCGTGATCGATTTCTTGCCTACTATATTTATTCGTAGCTACACTTTCGCATAGAGTAAAATTCAATTAATTTCTCTATTCAGATATTAATCACTTTTAATTTGAGGTTAGTATTAAATTCTTAAAATATTATTACCCAACCAAAATAATACCAAACTAACCATTGGATCACTGTCAAAACGAAAAAAAAATTTACCTGTATTTTTTTACGTCTCCAACTGTTTATGCGAAATTATTTAAATAAATTGAAAAAAATTAAATCGAAAATCTCTATACTATTTTTTTGTTAGATTCTATTTTGTTAGTAAATTATAGTTAATAAAATATCTAGCTTTATTTGGAAATCAAAATTTTATTTTAACCACGAGACATTTAGGCGTAATTTTTTTTAGACCGATCGTTTAGGTTTGGGTTGGGTTTAGGTCACGGATTACAGTGTACAAGAAAGTTCTAAAAAAGTTATCTACTTGTTTTCTCGCGGCTGGTATGATCACTTTTTTGAAATTGCAAAATTTTTTACAATTTATTAAAATAATTTCGCATAAGTAATTGGAATCGTAAAAAGAAAAATACGGGTTATTTTTGTTCGTGTGGAGAATAAATCAGTAGTTAGTTTGATGTTATCTAGCGTAGATTCGGTTTGGGCTAAAACTAAGTACAGTATCTTCCGTCAAAATATCATGGTTTATAATAATAATATACAAACAAAATAAAATCTGCCAGAAAAATAGTATAAAGGTTTGCGATGTATTTAATTTAGTAGAATCGATTGAAATGATCAGTTTTTTGAAATTACAAAATTGTTTTTATTTATTAAAATAATTTTGCTTAAACAATTGGAATCATAAAAAAAGGGTACATTTTTTTCCATTTTCATTGTGATCCAATGGTTAGTTTGGTACTATCTGGCCTGGATTATGCTTGGCTCATAATAGGTTAATGACATATCTATTCATCACCATAAGTGTGGAATTTTATTTTGAATACGATTGAACGTTTAATGAAAAATTATATCATTTCTTAGAATTAGATAATTTATTAAAGTTATGCTTTTTATACTTTTACTGTTATTAAATAGATGCCTTAATTTAGTGATTCTTAGAAAATTTGTTTTTTGGTACAATTTTGTGGTTTTTATAATTAGTTGTTGGTTTTTTTTATTTGAGATTATTACTTGTAATTGATTGTAAACTGTGTTATTATACTATGTAGTTACTACTGAATTAGGGAATCATCTGAAAAGTATTAAGGACAATATCGGTATGAACACAATTGAACAATAGTTGTGTGTGTGTGTGTGTGTGTGTGTGTGTGTGTGTGTGTGTGTGTGTGTTATGACGAATTTAAGTTTCATTCGTTATGTCTCTCTCTCCCCTTATGTATTAATATAAATATTATGCTATTATATTATACTATATTGTACTTAATATATATAGCAGCAGCCGACGCAACGGAAAGGCGAGAGAGAGAGAGAGAGCAACAGAGAGTCGCGTAGAGAAAAAGAGAGAGAGAGAGCGATATGCCTGAACTATACGTCGCGCTAGCAAAATAACCCAATAGGGTTCAGTTTGCTTAAATTATATATATATGTGGAGAAGGTTGAATTCGCACGCTGAGAAATGATTTTTGACTCCTTGATTAGTTTAGTTTAAGACAGAACTTTATTTCACTTATTTACAGTAGATAGACTTTAATCTCTGTTTACACTTTACTTATTGTTTCGATTCCCTGAGCTACAGATATTCAAATGCTAAATTCTATGAGGATCTCTACTAGCGCTACAGCAACTAAGTAGTTGCCAACGAGGAGCTGGCAGGCATTACCAACTGCCTCGCACGCCAGTAGAAGAAGGACTGCCGCTACTGGAATTCGCTGCGGGGGACGAGCGCTTGCTTGCGCCGCCTAGTTGCCGAAGACTGCGGAGTGCTGACCTCTTGTGGCCACTGTTATGAGCTTGGCGCGACCGCCACAGCCACTCCCTCCCTGAAAGTTACCTGATCAGAAGGTGACTCAGATGTAGGTTGTGACCTGGTGCTTTTTAGGCAGGACTTAGGTGATCCTGGCGTAAGTTTTAGTTTGGTTACTCCTTTTGAGACTGCTTGCTGCGTCAGGGGTACCTGAAATGATACCGATTTGGACTGGACTTCATTGGTTTGCCGTTTAGACTGTGACGGCTCGTCCGAAGAGATGTACGCTGGTTTCAGGATTGAAGTTGATATGGTTTGAGGATTTCCGCTGACGTCTATGACGTATCGCTGGTCGTCCAACCTTTTGATAACTTTATAAGGTCCAGAGTAGGGCGGAGTAAGTGGAGGTTTAACTGGAACTCCCAGTTTAAAAACATGGGTGCATGTATGCAGATGAATGAATTGCTTGATTGAGATATGATGTGAAGTAGGTGACGGCCGTATCACTGGAAAGTGCTTTCGCAGATGATCTAGGAAGGTTACCGGTGATTGCGGTGAGTCCTTAGTTGTGAAGAATTCTCCTGGAACTCTGATCGTCGTTCCGAACGTGAGTTCGGCAGGCGAGGTTTTGATGTCCTCCTTGAATGCTGTTCTTAAACCTAAAAGCACGGTGGGTAGCAGCTCGGTCCAGGCAGAGCTAGGCTGACACATCAGTGCGGCTTTGAGCGTTCTGTGAAAACGCTCAACCATTCCGTTTGATTGCGAGTGGTAAGGCGTTGTACGGATTCTTTCCGCCCCAATTAGCTTTGCCAATGAGCTGAAAAGTGCGGACTCAAATTGCGGTCCTTGATCCGTGGTTATTGTTAGCGGAGTGCCAAAGATAGCAATCCAGCCAGAAAAGAAAGCGTTGGCCACTTCTTCCGATGTTGCCTTTTTCAGCGGTATTGCTTGGGGCCATCGGGTGTATCTGTCTACCAGTGTGAGACAGTATCTGTACTCATTGACTAGGGGCATAGTAACTATATCTAAGTGTATATGATTAAATCTTGCTTCTGGAATCCCTAAGTCGGCAGGGTGGCTTCGTGTGTGGCGATGGATTTTCGCCCTCTGGCACTGAATACATTGGCGTGACCAAGTAAGTGCATCTTTACGAATGCCTGGCCAGAAGTATTTTTCTCGGATCTTCCTGGCTGTTTCTCTACCGCTTGGATGAGCCGGGCCGTGAATGACGTCGAATGCTGTCCTCCTCAGAGAGGGTGGTAAGAAAGGACGTACTACTCCCGTTGAAACTTCACATAGGAAATGATATCCGTCTATTTCTAATGGTTGAAGACCATTGACATGTTCGCTCTCTCGATTTGGTGAAACTTCGTAATCCGCCTGGGCTTCACTGATAACTTGTGCACTGAGCCTGGTGGGTATGTTGATAGTGCAGATTCTGGATAGCGCGTCGGCTACGACGTTCTGTTCTCCTGGAATGTGAACGATTGTTGTGCAGAATTGGCCTATGTAATCTAATTGGTAAAGCTGTCGTGGCGACGCTTTATCCGGGCGTTGCTGGAAAGCTTTGGTTAGTGGTTTATGGTCAGTCCTGATTACGAATTCTTTGCCTTCAACAATGTGCGCAAAGTTCTTGATCGTCGCATAAATTGCAAATAGCTCACGATCGTAAGGACTATAGTTGCGTTCTGCGGCAGACAGTTTCCTAGAGTAGAAACCAAGTGGAGTGTGTTTACCATCGATTATCTGTTCGAGGGATCCACCCAATGCCGTTGCAGATGCGTCTGCTGTGAGGATGATGGGTGCTTGAGGATGCAAGAAGGCTGAGGATGTTACCGCTGCAAGCGATTTTTTGGTTTCCTCAAAGGCTTTTTCTAACTCCGACGTCCATGCTAACGGGGTTCTGTCTTTTTTCTTCATGCTTTTTACGCACTCGTTGAGTAGAGCTTGCGATTCAGCTGCATTCGGGATTTGCAGTCTGAAATAGTTGATTGCTCCCAGAAATCTCCTCATGTCATGAATGGTTGCAGGTTTTGGAATGTTGAGGATGGCCTCAACCTTTTCTGCTGGTGGTCTAAATCCGTCGGCATTTATTCTGAAGCCGAGAAAATTTACCTCTTGTTGACCGAACTGGCACTTGGTCCAGTTTATTTTCAGACCTTCTTCAAGCAGGATGCTCAGGACGGTTCGTAAGTGGTTAAGATGCTCTTCCATAGTGTTGGATGAGATGAGTATATCGTCTATAAAAACGGAAACATAACTAAGATTTCCTAAAAGACTGTTCATGTATCTTTGGAAAGTTTGTGTAGCATTTTTTAATCCTAAGGGCATTCCTAGAAAGTCATATAGACCAAAAGGAGTAGTGATTGCTGTTTTTTGCACGTCCTCAGGAGCTACGGGGATCTGAAAGTATGCTTTCTTTAGATCTATAGTTGAAAAAATCTTTTTTCCATGAAGAAGAAGTAATAAATCGCTAATCCTCGGAATTGGGTAGCGATCAGGAACGGTTTGTGCATTTAAAGCTCGGTAGTCACCTGTCGGGCGAAGCTTTCCAGATGGCGATTTTACCATATGAATAGGACTGGCGTAGGGACTGCTCGATGGCCGTATGATCCCTGCTCGTAGCAGTTCCTTGTACTCTGCTTTTGCTGCTTGTAGTTTCTCCCAGATCATTTGACGAGGTTTTG